CTGTCGGTGTCAGGGCGCCACGCTGTTCCTGACCCATCAAGGGTCATGTATGCGAACGCCTGCCCATACATCACGCTGTATACTAGCTGCCGTCTCTGGACTCCGGGGGCAACATTCAGAGCTCCCAGGCTAAACGACGAACACGCCCACAAGCTCCTCCGAGCGCCTCCACATAGACCGATGCGATAGATGCGGAGGTTGAGGATCGGCTGCTGGCGCAACGTATTCGTCAAGCCACACCTTGTACAATCGTCCGTCTGCAGAGGGCTCCTCGCTACGCTCGAGGGAAGAACTTGCCGAGCCGCGTTTTGGAATGGAGGGGCGAAAACAGCTTCGACAGCGTGGCGAACACAGACCTCAGCTGCGGAGCCCAGAAACGGTAAGTCTATAGGGAGCATCACCCTTCTGTTTTTGCGCGGGCCTCAAGGTCTGGTAAGGCAAGCCGAACCAGCCGCTGCTCGGCTCAGCAGTTGAGGAACTAGTTTCCGACACTTATGGAGTGCAGGACCAGTCACAAGAGGCCATCCGCATCCAACTGAATAGTGACTTGCTTCGCTGACTCCTCGTCTCCGCCGCGACTGCACCGCTGTGATCGTCCCGAAAAGGCCAGAGCGGAGCATAATTACGCGCCGCGACACGACCGGTGAAGCGCCCGGAACCGCGCGACACATCGACCAGCGCTGAACATGGGACTTACTCACCGAAAAAAGCACACATGGAACTCCAAAACTACTTGGTTGTGGAGTTGTGGAGGAAAGTGGTCTGAAAACAGATCAATTCCCAGGGTCCATGGGGGTATTCAGCATGGGACATCAGAACCGTCAAACCTGGCGCCTTGGTCCTACTCCGCCTTGGTCTCGTCATAACCCATCATAGCCTTCCGAAGGCCTTCGCAACTCCCTACAAATCGCTCCAAATCAAAGCAGGAAAAGCAACACAGCACGCGGCTGCCTCGTGTTTGGTTGGGCGATGAACAAATCATTTGGCCCGAATAGGGGCTCTATAGTTGGACTCAATCAACGGTCCTATATATTCCTTGACTTCAAGCTTTCAGGGGTCTGTGACTGCAAGCTATCCTTGGATTTGCTGTCCAGGAGCCGTATTCCCCCAAGAAAAATCACCAGAAGCAAAAGCAAAAATGAACACAAATAAAGACCACAATATGAGAATGCACATTCATGCCAAGCTCTAGACCCGCCCAGGTTGCACAGTTCCAGACCGTCCTCGACCTTCGCGTCGGCTCAAGTCTCCTGAACTTGGAACACGCAGAAGCAGAGACATGAGGTCGGGTTGAGCAAACCATCATCATCATCATCATCATCATCATCATCATCATCATCATCATCATCATGACCACCAACACCAACACCACCGACACCCGCACCATCAGCAGCAACAAATGCAGCGACGCATCGTTCTTTGTGGAGTTGGACCAAAACACTGGTGGAAAACGTTTGGACCAATCTGGTGACTCGAGGAGTAGGACCTAGATGACCGGAAGTAGACTGCAAGTAGACAGTCACAAATGGACCGTAAAAACAGGAACCACCAGAACCGCAAAGAATCCACACGTAGGTCATCCACACGTGTTGGGCAGTAGGTCATCCTCAGGTCCTCACGCCACCGAGGGGATGGATTCATGTCACCATCCCGGTCACAATGACGCAAGACTGCTTGGATTGCTCATCTGTGTGTGGGTCAGGTCACCCGGGGGTGACACCCGGGGGTGTCCTGGCTTGACCAAAGGAAACAGAATGGACGACCTACAGGTCAACGCTACCTGGTGAGTTCGGGGATGCGGGTGCCATGCCCCACAGCGACAAACTCAGCCCAAGGTTGAACACCCACAGTTTCTGACACCACAAACCAGAAATTGGCCTCTCAAAGCGAATGAGTTCTGAGCGCAAATACTTTCCTGAGCGCCAATGTAGTGTCTAAATATATCGGCGGTTTTTTGGCGGTCTATGGGTGTAGAAGCGGATTGCGGCAGTGCAAATTATACACATGGTTCTATGAATGAAACCGTTAGAGCATGTTAAGAGCACATACACATGATCAGAATATAAATATATTAAATATAGAGAAGATATGAGAAGATCAGTTGTGGTTCTTTGACTTTGGGTTGGGGGCATCTGTGCTCGCCGATCGAACGAACCACCTGATCGCCGGAACTCACGGATCCCAGGCAGCCAGGAGATCTGATCGGAACCAGAGGCCCGTTCTTTTCGGAACGAACGGCGCTTTTGAGTCGTCGTCGTTGCCTGGAACCCACCGGGCCGAACCAACGAACGAACGAACTGAACGAACTTTGCCTGGATTCAGTGCGGGGGTCACTTCGAAGCGAACGAAGCACGGTGCTTTTGTATCCATTCCAGCTTCAGCACTGCACACATCATGAGATTGGCCCCCACAGCATGCATGCATTCCGTGCATCGAAGTGCCAATCACAAGTGATGCTAAACCAACAGCTGATGCCGTGATGCCCATCTCTTGCCCGTGACAGGCGGGCAGCGAGATGAGTTTCTCAATGTTCTCCATGAGTTACAGAAATGGATTGGAACTGGCGCTCACGTCCCTCGAAGGGGGGGCTGATTGGTAGTAAAGTGGTGCTAACTGCTTCAACACATGTCCGTGTCAAAAAGAAACATCCTTGAAGCTGGCTCGAACACGGAAGAAGGCGGCTGGCAAGTCCGTCTTCATCAAATTCAACCTGGGTTCTTGGACAACAGCCCCGCTTGAAGTTCAAGACCTTGCAACAAGTTCAGCGCCTGCGGCAAACGTCTGCCCTTCTCACAGGCATTGATGGCCACACAAAAGCTGATCACATCTTGCTGAACGTTTGCCTCGAGCATCGCCTCAAACAACTTCAATGCTTCCTGCCATTGCCCGCCCTTCTCACAGGCCGTAATTGCCGCATTGTAGCTGATCACGTTGGACTGAACATCCGCCTTGGACATGGTGTCAAACAACTTCAATGCTTGTTGCCATTGTCCGCACTTCTCACAAGCACTGATGGCAGCACTGTAGCTGATCACGTTGGGCTGAAGTTTCACTTCGGGCATAGCCTCAAACAACTTCAGTGCTTGCTGCCATTGTTCGCCCCTGTCACAGGCACTGATTGCCGCACTGTAGCTGATCACGTCGGGCTGAACTTTCACCTTGGGCATGGACTCAAACAGCTTCAATGCTTCCGGCCACTGTCCGCCCTTCTCACAGGCACTGATGGCTGCATTGTAGCTGATCACATCGGGCTGAACTTTCACGATGGACATGGCCTCGAATACATTCAGTGCTTGCTGCCATTGCCCACCCTTCTCACAAGCACTGATGCCTGCATTGTAGCTGATGATGTTTGGTTGAACCATCAACTTCGGGATGACATCAAACAACTTCAATGCTTGCTGCCATTGCCCGCCCTTTTCACAGGCACTGATGGCAGAATTGTAACTAATCAAGTTGGGCTGAACTTTCACTTTGGGCATGGCCTCAAATAGCTTCAATGCTTCCGACCACCTTCCGCCCTTCTCACAGGCACTGATTGCCGCATTGTAGCTGATCACGTCAGGCAGAACTTTTACCTCAGGCATGGCCTCCAACAACTTCAGTGCTTGCTGCGTTTGCCCGCCCTTCTCACAAGCACTGATGGCTGCATTGTAGGTGATCATGTTGGGCTGAACATTCAAATTGGGCATGGCCTCGAACAAATTCAGTGCTTGCTGCCATTGCCCGCCCTTCTCACAAGCACTGATGGCTGCACTGCAGCTGATCACGTCAGGCTGAACTTTGGCCATGGGCATTGTGTCAAACAATTTCAATGCTTGCTGCCATTGCCCGCCCTTCTCACAAGCACTGATTGCGGCATTGTAGCTGATGACATTGGGTTGAACTTTCACATTGGGCATGGCCTCAAGTAACTTCAATGCTTCTGGCCAGTTTCCACCCTTCTCACATGCACTGATGGCTGCATTGTAGCTGATCGCATCTGGCTGAACTCTCTCCTCAGGCATAGCCTCAAACAACTTTATTGCTTGCTGCCATTGCCCGCCCTTCTCACAGGCACTAATTGCCGCATTATGGCTGATCACGTTTGGCTGAACTTTTGCCTTGGGCATGGCGTGAAACAACTTCAATGCTTGCGGCCATTGTCCGCACTTCTCACAGGCACTGATGGCAGCACTGTAGCTGATTACATCGGGCTGAACTTTCGTTTCCGGCATGGCCTCAAACAACTTCAATGCCTCTGGCCACTGTCCGCCCTTCTCACAGGCACTGATGGCCGCACTGTAGCTGATCACGTCAGGGTGAACTTTGGCAGTAGGCATGGCCTCAAATAGCTTCAATGCTTGCTGCCACTCGTTTGCTCTCGCACAGCTTGATATTCCGATGGTGTAATTTGACGCATTTAGCTCTATGCTACCATCTTCCTGGATTGCTTCCAAGGTAGCATACACTAGTCTCGCTGCTCCCTTTTGCTGGCACAGACCCCTCAAGACGGGCTGAAGGTTTGCCTTGGAGCGCCTCACTTGTAGCAAAATGGTTTCAAGACAGTCCTCAAAGTTTCCTTGGTCTGGTCGAGGCTGCAGCAGATTAAAAGACCCACGGACTCACGGGTGTTTGTTGATAAACTCGTCCTAAAGCCCAGTGGGTTTGGGACAAATAATGTATATAGACAGTTGATTATACTTATACTATTTATAATATATACTCTCCCTGGAACTAAAATGGAAGTGGTGAATGGCCCCTTGGAAGACTATATTGGATAACAAAAACATGAAAACATTGTCGAAGATGTACAACATTGCTAGCATATCTAGAGTCTTGCCCTTGTCACCGGATCAAAGCATGTTTTTGGAGTTGTAGCATGACATACCCTACAAGTCCAGTCTGACCCAGTAAAACCAGATTGTTTGATTGCTTGAATAGTGTTTTTTGTATGACCAACTCCAGTCAATTGAGGTTAAACTGACCTGTACTACGTGCGTGCACTGGAACTACCGACTCAGTTTTTTAACAAACATATAATTACGCTCCCTGCAACAATCATGGAAGGGGTCACAAAACACCACTATTCATGCGAAGGGGAAAAAACAAACACAAAAACAAACAAACAGGACACACAAAAACACACAAACAAAAAACATCTCAACGACCAAACGCAAAAACCATGCATTCAACGTGAGAAAGTCGTGTGCCCAGGTGTCGTGAACCGATCGCTTGGAGCTTCTGCACCACTTCCTCTGCTGCCTTCGGCGGAGCGTCTTCACGTCTACCGCAGCTTCGCCGCGCGGAGGGTGCACTCGACGCTTCGAGGCTTCGATGGCTTCCCCAACGGATCGTCCTGGATCGACGCAGGTCCCGACCGGCGACCCGGCGGAGACCGGTGGAGACCGGTGTGGTGAAGCGCTGCAGGTGATTTGTTGGTCTTCCGCTCTCACGATCGATGATGTGAAGACAAAGAAAGGAGGGGCGAAGAGCAGATTTGGGGAGGGCTGGCGCAGGGTCAGGAGGGCAATTGGTTGGCAGGGTCACCAATTTTTAATAATTCTGCTTTCATCTATAATATTTCTGGTTCGTTGCTGGGTTCCAGAAAACTGGCCGAACCGCCGGGGCCTCGACGAAACGAACTTCTGTGGACGGCACCAGGGGAGTCCTCCGTGGTTCGACGGCAACTGCACCGTCCAACACGACGCTCCATGTGAGGCAAAAGGTATCAAAAAGTACACGAAGTGACGAGCACATGGTTACGTGGATGGCATGCTCCCGATTTCGGAAGACGACAAAATCCTTTACAAACAGGGGGTGAACTCCACTTCCAGCAGAGGTTGAAGAACCCTATAGACTATCCTATATAGGTACCCCTGTAGGGTCCTATAAGGTCACTTAACCTCTGTAGGTTAACCATGTTTTCTGTGTTCTTCGGAGCGTAGGTCTTTTTCAGATTTCTGTCTTCTGTCGTTGGGTTTCTTGGGTGCTGGGGACACATGGATGTAATGTACTTCAGGCCAAGGGGGGGGGCGAAAGCTAGCGCTCCAGAATGGGAAAGTGGAGGGCAGCGAGGTAGGAAAAAACACGGCGCTCTTTTTGGAGGCAGGGGTGAAGAGTCCTTTATATGTGGCTCTTTGCCCGGATCCTCCTGCGAGAGAAGAGAGAGAAGAGAGACGGACAAACGAGAGACAGAGAGGAGAGAGAGAGAGAGAGGAGAGAGAGATGAGAGAGATGAGAAAGAGATGAGAGAGATGAGAGAGATGAGAGAGATGAGAGAGAGAGAGAGACAGTGAGACAGTGAGACAGTGAGACAGTGAGAGTGAGAGTGAGCGAGTGCGGCCGCAAGATACGCAACGCTAACCGCATGCCAAAGAGCGACGACAGGACGGAGTCGAACTTGCGAAGAGGGAGGAGGGAGGGAGGGAAGGTGGGAGGAAGACAAGGAGGAGGAGAGGGGAGGTGGGGCGGGGAGAGGGGAGAGGAGAGGAGGGGAGAGGGGCGGAGGGGAGGGGGGGGGGGGGGGGGGGGTCTTCGACCTGAAAAATCAGGGGTTAGGATTTGCACCCGGTCGAAAGAAACCTTGCTATCGCAAGAGTAACTCCAGCTAGCTTCGCTAGCTTTCGTGACATGTGTGCAATTGAAAAGAAACAAACATGCTATCGACTCCCACCCAAACACGACCTGTCTAGGACTGGAAGAGTTCCCTGCATGGGTCATCAATGGGGTAACTCGATCAATGCAAGTCTTCCATTCCCATGGATGGGGGCCATGTTAATTGATATAGCATGATATAGCAGAAAGTCCCACCTCTCTTTCAGAGCTTTAGGGTCCCTCCTCCCTTCTCGAACTCGTCGCCAACCCCTCCGCCGGATCTGCACGCGAAACAGCAGCACGAGGCCAGCCAAGCAGGCGGGCACCGACTGCAGAAGCGACACCGAGGGCATGGATTTGATGGCAAAGCAGCATGGATTTGATGGCTGGAGACACATACAACTGCAGATTCCTTGTCCAGGGCGGCAGCGCGGCGGAAAGATGGTCTGCCATGCTGTGTTCTCCATCTGTCGGCCACTCATCAGATCTCTCACCTCATCCTTGGCTCCAATCGCGTCGCTCTATACAGCTCTCCTTCTCAACCCCGGAACCCCAACCAAAACTCCTTCTCCAAGGGCAACGGTTCCTTTGCGGGTTCCTTCAGCGGTGGCCGTTTAGCTCGCTCGGTCGGACGGTGGATGCTTGGGCCGGTGCCGCGGTTCGACTGGGACTGGCCGTGAAACGAGACGAGGCCTGTGGTTGATTGACCTATATAGGGTTCATAGGGGGAGGACAATTCCAGTCCCATGCTCGGTTCCCAGACATGAAATTCCATCTATTCCCATCCCTAAGAATCCTTGGGCTCTCCATGGCAGGGGTCGGACCCGACCTCTTGGCAGGGGTCCGGCCCGAACCAAACCCTATCTGTTTGAGGGCCCGGATTCTTAGGGTTTCGTCCATTCCCCACGATCTGTTCCGACTTCCCCGCCCCGCCATGTTCTCCTCCGGATTCCGTCCAGCTTGGTGCTTCGGTCCGTGAAACAGTAGGCTTGCTTTTTGGGCATCCGACAAAAAGAGCAGAACAGCTAAGGTTCCATGAGAAGGAACTCCCAAACCTTCCATGGTATGGTAAGTGGTATGGTATATATAAGTTGTGTGTGTGTTTTTGTTTTTTACTTTTTCAGCTAGGGGTGAATGTAGGCAAACATGCCGGTCCCACGGGGTGTCTGGAAATTGAATTCTGCGTTCGCCCCGACACTCGGACTCTCCAGCAGACGAGAAGAGAGTTGACAGAACGAAGTCACAGAGCTCGCTCGGGGCACCTGTGGCTCGTCCCATCCAGTGACTGGATGTGACAAACTACCTCTTCCTCCATGGATAGCACCCTTGCCTCCGAACTGCTAAACAGTGTCAATCAATGACATGCACTGCTCGAGGCAGGGGTCAAAAAAACATGTATTTGAGAAAAGGTTGACCACCGCCACCGATGAACAATGGCTTTACATAAATCTGGCAACAAGCGATACATGTCAACAAACATGTCCCTTCTGCGTATGGAATCGCATGGAAGAGTTGATACCAGATTTAGTTACATGTATTACATCGTGTTCAAATGACCCGGGTCCCATATTGTTCCCATATGTGTTGTTGGTTCCAGCTTCCCTTCTCATGACATTGATACCAGATTTAGTTGGTCCCATATGTGTGTGGGTGTTGTTTTGTAAAGGTCACTCTTCACCAGGCCGCAGGCTCCAAACATCGGTAGGGAGGTGAATGGGGACACCTGGGAGCCAGTGGACCACGTCTAGTTGTTGGCTGTTAGTACAGTGGTGTGGTGGTTACTTAGTGGTGACGCACTTCAATTCATCTAACAAAATCCGATTTTGACTACTGAAGTAGGCAGCGCTGCGCTGACCAGACTGGTGAAACTCACCATCCGGAGGGAAAACAGCGGATCAGCAAAGACCTAAAATCAGGAAGAAAGGCTTTGCAATGACTTGGCACTTTTCGGGACAAAGATTGTTCAAAAAGCAACATCTGTTGCGTCTGTTGCAGGTCAGGACAAACAAAGTATATCTTCACATGCGTTTGTTTCGTAGCTTTTTGTGAGGTGTAAACCAAAAACCTGCTCTCCTCTCTTAAACAAAGGAAACAGAGACGTCTGACGTCTGCATCGGGACGCCTCTCCTCGTCCCCGTGCCGTGGACACGCCCGCACGGCGAACCTCGCCGCCGCCTGGTTGACTGTGACCGGTCGACTACGACCCCGTTTTGCGCGACCACCCTGGGGTCAGGGTGTTTGGGATGGCGTGACCAGCAGACCTGCAAAAGCCGGTCACCCAGTAGACGGAGCAAACGGAGCAGACGGGTCGGGGGTGGCTTCACCTCCTCGGGTTTTGGAGGGACCGGGAATTAACACGGGCGCCCCGTTTGGGACCGACGGACGATTCCAGAGGAGGATCTGTCTGACGAGTTCCGTGACGCGGAGTGAAATGAAACCGTCGATGAACATCGTCGAAGGAAGTGGACTTCTACCAGGACCCTCCTGTCGGGGTGCCCTGTCTGGAAGCCTAGGCCGGTAGTGTGGGGTGGTCCGATTCCTTCTAGATGTACACCCTAGATGTACTTTGGTGTGGAATGGTGACGAACTTTGAAGTGCGTTGGAATCTCCTGAACACGTTCTAAAACATGGTCGAACTGGGCTTCCATATAGGGTACCTACATCAGGGTACTATGGATCTAAATGGTATAAATGACGCCACTATTCCAGTCCTGTTCGTCTGGTCTGGCATTGCTCATGGCATTGCGAGGACAGCCACGAGGACAGGCCCGCCATTCCAGTGCCACTGCTGTTCGTCCATGGGTGGCCTCATTGACTTTTGAACCATCCCATCGATGTGTTCCGATGGAAAAACGTTTGAGAACCGCGGTGACATCGAACGAAGTCCAACACGCAACATCGAACGAAGTGAAACACATCGAGCTGCTACCGTCAGTCTGTGTCGTGTCCTTCTTCATCCAAACCTGCCAAACTCTGGGTGGGCTGCATATAGGGATGACCCCTATAAAACCCTAAACCATAGCCCAACTACAGGGATTTAAATGGAACCATGCATTGGTTAGAAGCAGGAAAGAGCACGAGTCAGGACAACTCTTCCACAATAGTGCAACAACTGGGGCAAAAATGCTATCGCAATTAATGTGAAACCAAACAAACCTGACTGGGTTGCAGTTGTTGTTAGCTGTAGGCTGTTTTGCTCATTGGATGTATAGCTTCTTCGCCACGATTAATGAATTTCCAGACCATGAACTCTGCGACCATCCCCTTCCCGAAATTTTGAAGGTTCTGAGCTGCCATACGGAACTCACCATCTGTTCGGGGTTTCTCTGATCTTCAACGGAGACCACGGACACACGCCTTGCGAATCACTCGATAGTGATTCACACTAGATTCTGTGTCCAGGTCTATTCCAAGCACTCCTGGACCATCCATGCATTAAATAGTTACCTGCATTAGGGTCATACATGGGGTAAATGTATATAATATATGCATGTACGTTCGTTACGTTTGTTCTATATCCTCATCCAATAATCTAAACTATCAATCTAACTCGTCCCATGGACAGTCTGGACCTCCTTGCTTTCTCCATCTTCCCTCATCTCCCTCGGCCATCGAGACGGTCTCACCTGCCGGGTCCACCGCACTCCGGTGCCTCGGTGGGGTGTAGCTTCACCCGTCGCGTTGAAGGTCAAATGAACAGATTCCTCCAAAAAGCGGATATCGTTTTTTCCCGAACACATATGGTTAGGTGTGTTTTATTTTCTATGTTTTGACATGTTTTGACTCACTGCCATGTCCTCGATGAAACGCTATAGGGTTCCAGTCGTACCTCCGAAAAGAAGGTAAATATTGGGACCCTCCAATGGCACCCACCCCAGTCCCAACTTCTGAGAGAAGGTACGACTGGAGCTCTAGGGCAAGTAACTAAGTAACTGAAGTAACTGAGCAATCCCTTGCGTTTCCCCTTGGAACACATACACTTGGATCAAATTTCTGGTTGGCCAAAACTCACAAAAACAATTCAGTCGAGTGGTTTCAATATGGTTCAATCATCCCAATTGAAAGGATGAACCTTTTGAACACTATATAAATATGTATACCAGGACCTTCCAAGCCTGGTGGTTTTTGGACACCCCGAATCACCTCTAAGAGGCCATTTATAGACACCTCAAACGGAAGGTCCTGGTATATAATATCTGAAACCAGGGCTGGGCCGCAGCATCTCTGGCGCTTCCACCGGGGGTCCTTTGACCTCATCGAGGTTTCTGGACCAGGCTAGCTAGGAGACGCTGCTAGGAGACGCCCGAGCTGTGAGGGCACTGAAAAGGGCACCATGATTTCATGATGGTTCATGGAATCTGGTTCGATCTTCTGCATCGCTTTCTTCCTGATGTCGAATTCTCCGTTGTGATCGCAAAGAAGGTGATACAGGAGGCTCAAGAGCATCAATGTGAGGCTGGAGGCTCAATGTCAGGACTCTTTTTGGAGTTTGCAGCATAAGTTCAATGATGTGAAAGATCAGTTCATCACAGGCCAAGGAACTTCAAGCCAATTCCTCTTGTACTACAGTACTACAGGCCTTTGCTTCAACCCTCAGCGGGTGTCGTGGGGCTGGTGGAAATGTTCCTTTTGAATTGGCCTACGGCGGGCCAAAAGAGATCCCAACAAAAAGACAAGAAAACCAGTAAACAATCACCAAAAATGAATCTCTTACATCTCAGCCACTTTGGTTGATTTCCATTTGCAAACACACCTGCGTTCCACAAAGCAACGGATCATGTCACACGTGATTCCAAGTCACACGTGATTCCGCTCGCTCTTCCGCTCCTCCTCCTGCCACGTGCGGATCCCGCGGCTGTTGAGCGACTGGACTTCCAGTCACCCAGTGATTGGACCCGATGCATTTCACCCGTGATGGTCTAGGCCGATGGACTGATGGATAGTCGCCTTTTCCTGACTGATTGGACTCTGGATGGTCTGGGCCGAGGAAGATGCGCCATACAGTTTCCTCATCCGTGGATGGTCTGGGTACTGTTGGGGTGGTTGAACAGGAATATTGGTATATACACATCCATGTATCCCAACATACAACAAATGGGACTGGAACATATATACCTGACCCTTGACCCTTGAAATCAACCACCCCAACTGATCGGCAAATACGCCCATACCAGTACGTTGGAACTGTCTGAGTATGTCCATCCCAGACCATCAATGGTCGGACTCGGACTGGAAAAAAGTTACATACATGGCTCCCCCATGTCTGACCCATCCATGCGTATGTCATGTATGTAACGAATCCAGTCCCATGGATCACCTGGGCATGTATTGGTCATGTTGGTCAATCCATTGGGGTGGTTGATTGATTGATTTCAGCGGTGAATGGGGTGGTCGCCAGTCGCAAACAGGTCATGACACCGACTGTTAGGTTCCAACACCGACTATCCATGAATAGAGGAACCTATTGGGGATGGTCATATATACGGAACAAGGGGGGCTTCTCCCCAATAGATAAATGGTAAAAAAAAGTTCTATTCCCTCCACATGAACAAATCAAGGGGTGAAAATGAGTGAATCAAAACTATATATTTGTAAAATTGCATGATGTTGTCAAATCCTCATATCGTGGGAGAAGAGCCAAAGCTCATC